ATACGATAATTTTGACCTCGTCTCATGTACTCGCCATAACTTGAAAGGAAGGTTGAAGGGATCGTTTGAAAGTTGGGGGTTGTATGCGCCGTGCATTTCGTCGCAGCGACACGACACCGAAGGCACCGTCAGCCCTAAGACCGAAATCCCAGCAAGCAACAGCCTCGAACCACAGCTCCTGCAACACACATGAACAACATTTACATATACACACACAATATAAATATATATATATATATAATATGCTATAAGTATATATATACGCATATATAATATGTGTTTGTGGATTGTACTTACAATACATATATGGTACGGGTAAGTACATAATGGCGATCAGGGTGTCTTGGTTTTGGATCCGAGGCTTGCTCGAGTGGTCAGGCTAGGAGAAAGAGGGTACTTGGAGTGATGGGTGGTGCTTCTACGGCTCGTTTTGGAGTCATTGCTGCTATTTGCTCTACTCAACTTTCACTACTGCATACCGCGGCTGCTACACACTTGGGGATCGTTCGGGGGTCCTTGAAATCCATCCGGTGTCCACCGACACGACGGCCACGCCGGATCGGCTGAATTCGTCAGCGACAGAGCAAGTCATCATGTTCAGCGAGGCTTTGGCCATATTGGTGTGGGGGTGATTGGCACCCTTGGATCCGAGTGTACGGAAAGACCCCTCCTGCGAGGAGACGTTCACTACGAAGCGAACATCCTTTATCATCTGCCGACGCTTTTCCAGGGTGCTGGATCCCACAATGAAAAAACGGTTTGGTCTCGAAGCACCGCGGCTGTCCGCCGTGCTCAGAAAGTCGCGCGGGTGCTCTGGCACAAACGGGCGACTGCGAGAAACTGCTTTCTGGCCCTCCTTCATCTCCGTGTCCACCTTCATCAGCTTGCAGGCACGCGATAGGCGGGAAAGTCAAATCTCTCCAACTCTTGTGCAGCATCGGCTTACTCGGATTCTAGCTGTCGGCATGGTTGAATTATCTGTCGGAGTTTTGCCCAAAGCTTAGAAAAGCCAGGTCATGCAAGAAGGGTGTGCAGCTTGCTCGAATGAAACATGTATTTGCAGGCTCGGCTTCCGCAGGGCAAAACATCTTAGCCAGAAAGGGAAACTTGCGGAGGGATCAGAGTTTCTTGTTCGGGCCCCTTTCTGTATCGGCACGAGTGTTCGACGATGCTTTAACGAACGTTCCATGCTGCACCTCCAACGGGGAGCCAGCTGGTACTGAGAAGCTACAGTAGAACCAACATCGCACATTTGACGTCTTGGTACACTGGAGGCAAGTGAGAGGCCTCCTTTGGCAGCAAGGAAGACTTGAGCTCGCTTAGCAGCACAAAGGGTGCCGTGACATTGATCACTTGCACCTCCACGCTCTCCACCCATGAAACCTCGATTTCCAACGATCAGGGCCCTCCCTTTCACTCCGAGAGGCTTTCGGCACCACCCACCTCACCGATCTTCGCAGTCCAGCTGGTCTCTGCCCGCAAATCCTTTGTCTCCGGGACTGGCAGCTGGGCATCGGAAACCTGAACGGGCGCGGTTTCTGTGGCCTCGCCCTCGAGGAGATACTTCAGGTCGGGCGCGCCGCTCGACAACTGCCGCAGCCGGCCCTCAAGCTGGGCGTCCAAGGGCGTCTGCTCCGCCTCACAGGCATGCATTCTTCATTCGGATGTTTACAGTCATGTATGTGTGTATACATATAGACAGGGAAAGAGAGAGAGAGAGAG